GTCTGTTGTGAGTGCATAGATGCTTATCCACATTGACTTACATGGACATCGGAGCTGTGCGTGCCAAGCTAAATCTGCTAGTAGGAGGAGTCTCTTTATCTACACAGTCTCATCAATGGCCCTGCGTATAATAAATCAGGTCAGCTTCCTTTCATAGGGACAATATTGACAGCCAGGATAGCATTCAACATTATGTCTCTTGAAGAATGTACACTTGTTTATAAATAAACTATAGGTTGTGTCCATGTGGCGAAACATATAATTTAAACTTGTGTAGTAGGGCAACTGAAAAATCTTCCCTGGTGAAGTCCTGGTCGTGACCCTGATCCAAACTGCTCATAAATTGTTGGTCTGTAATACGTAAGATGAACAATAAGCATAGGCAAAGAATCAATGAAACAAGGAATACCAAACTGGATACTTGGGTAGAAGAAAGTGGCACGGTGGCTGAGTGGATAGCACTCTCACTTCTCAAAAAGAAGGTTCTGGGTTCGAATGCCAGTCGGAACAGGGCCTATCTGAGTGGGGTTTGCATGTTCTCCCCGTGTCTGCGTAGGTTTCCTCCAAGTGCTCCGGTTTCCCCTACCACTAAAATCATGTACAATAGGTCTGGCATGCGCCTCCTGTACTGGCGCATGCATCTCTGTGCTGAGTGAGAGACAAATGCCCATGATTGCAAACCGCTTTGTAACTCTGGTCTGTGAAAGGCGGTATATAAATAAAGATTACTTACTTATTTTATGTTGAACACATGGATACAGGCATCAGGTTTGACTACACAGACAATCTGTTTCCATACATGCAAGTCCTTTTCTTACCAGGAATGAGTTTGAAGAGTTATTAAAAAATAATGTCCTTTAGAGGTAACCAGTTTGACTTGCGCTCAGCTCCAGCACAAGTCATCAAGTGGCACGGGGCCGACTGATAGATGTGTTTGTCTTCCTCTGCTTCGACGTCGGCAGATGCCATATGATCTTTTTGTGAATTCCAGGGTCTGCATTTAGCTCTCAGACCTGACTTGACGTTCTAACACAAAAATATATTCTTACACCTGGTAATTGTCAAACAAGTCAAACTTCGTTTAAGACTTGGGAGAGGAGAAGGACAGGAAGAGTGCACAAACAAAACTCTTTAAATCCTGGACCAATTGACATAACAAGAAAAAGTTTCACGACTTCTTTGTCAGAATATATCAACTATGTTCCAACTTGATTCCCCTCAAAAAAGGTGTCAAGAATTGATGTAAAAGTTATAAACACATTTCAGACAAAGAAAATCTAAACACTATCAAATAATGATATGGCGGAAAACCGTTAGATATTTTTTTGCTTTTTCCCATAGATATATTTGCACCTGCCCTCAAAGTGAAACGGAACTCTAGAACATGAACGAGTTTTAGGAATACAGGGAAAGTTTGAGGAAGTTTTAAATCTCGAAGCTAGCGTGGAGATGAATTCTTTATTCCCAGGTGAAACTTAGAAATTAGGTAATCTGTTTTTGTAGTAATGTTCGGGGTACGTCATCAATAACAAATAATCATGAGTCATAGTTTACTATTAGGCCCAGCATATTGGAATAATGCAACTTCTGAAGGTCTAGGGAAATATTATATGATAATACTTGTACTGGGAATAAAGTAACTGTTGATTTTTTTGCCACTATCTACTCTATAGTCAACCACATTTGTCTTTGCTTCTCAAACAAATAGAAGCAAAAGCACTCTTCCTCCCATTCCTCCCCCTCCTCATCTCCCTCCCTTAACAATCTTAAACAGTGACCACAGGCTTTCAAGTGCACTACAGGTCAAAGGATGAAGAAGTACTTTTAGTAGACAGTTCATGCATTGCTCCTGTATCAAGCAGCAACAACATACAATGTACATATGCATTGGATTAGCAATGTACAACTCTGGCACTTGCTGGAGTTTTGATGCCCATGAATCATATGCAGTGGACCGGTCCCAAAGTCTGGAAAAGAAGTGAGTTAAATGCGGACATCTGTTGTACAAACCCGCCAATACAAATGGATCATTGTGTTAATCTCATTTGATTTCAGTTCTGAATGTTCTATTGCTGCTCAGTCCTTTGGCAAGACACTGGTGAACTTAGGAGAATGTTACACGCCACTACATTCTAGAACTTGAGCAAGAAAGAGAGAATAAATACACACGCCACAAGTTGTTCATTTGTGTTAAATTATGCAGGAATATGACAACCGTTCTCAACAGGCAGAGCACAGTGCCACGACTCCCTCAGCAGAAAATGGCCTTCATGTTACACAGATTTTGCATACATTCGTCATGCTACTTCCATTTTACTGCAACCCTTGCTATTGCTACTCCTACAACTACTACTGTCCTGTCTTGGGAAGTGGGAGGAATACAAATGCGGTGTACAGTGGAAACAAAGATCTAGAGCTGCAGTCCAGGGAGAATTTGGACAACACTGTTGTTGGTCCCTGACGGTATGCGGATGAAGCAAGATCCTATGATACTGAGAGATTCTGATTATAATGTATACATGCTGCTTAAATCTTTTATATTTAGAATGGAAAAGACTTGCAATGCATCAGTGTTCAGTCCTCCATTCTGCCAACTCCATACTCCACACAAATGTGTTATCCATATTAGATGCAAATGTATATTTTTTTGTTTTTTTGGCTTAGTTAAGAGAGAAGAGGGTTCATGTTAGCTGGTGTTAAGTTATAATGTTATAACTGATATAAACTGTTTGATTCTCCGATCTGTTGGAGAATCGACAACTTTGTTTATTCCTTTGATACAACCTCTGTTGTGATTTAGAGCTAGACAGAAATTAATGTAATTGAATTGAATTGAAATTGAATAACACGTGTCCTTAAATGGCCTTTCTTTGTGCAAATATACAGGATTCAATCGATATAAATATCAAAAATAATTTGCAATTCTTCTGAGGGGAAGACAAGATTCAGAACAGAATGTTGCCCCATGAATCCCAGTGAACAAAATAATCTTGTTTGAAAAAAGCTTATCAAACTGCATGATCCTAAAAAAACTTGTCTCATGTTTGCAAATGACTTCATTGATATTTGGCAAGGCCTTTTACATAACTGCATGTTGAGCACAAAGGATTAGGTTGCATGATTTGACTTTAAATGGCATCTGAAGAAGATTCCATATCTATTTCCTCTCCCAGGATCAATATTTCATAAAGTGACTATGATACCACTTGCAATGAAAAAGTAATGCGGCTGCGTAATATAAAATCTGCTATCTCTGATCATTGGGGACATAACATATTTCAACTGGAGCAGGAAAAATTCACTGTGAACTCTTTGCGGCAGTCGGAGTCCTGAGTTATCGTCACACTTTTCAACTGATGAAACACAACATTACACGTGGTGACATGCAAAGTGAATAGCACAGATTGTCTTCTTCAGATGATGAAGGCACAGCGTGGAACTTATTTGGTGGAGCGTGCGTCATCTATCTATCAGTTGACGGGATGGAAGTAAGGCTGGAATGGTGTTATTGTCTGCATAATACGCCATGGGTCATATTGGAAGTGTGTCCTCTGCATTTGACTTCCGTTGCCACTGTAGCTGTGGCGGTGGTTGTTGCTTAGCATGTTCATGACTCTCTTAAAAGTGATCAGTAAAATCTTAAAATCAAATGGAGGGATGGTAAAACGTGTACCCCTATATACAATAATATCCAGGCCCTGCTCTTCTGAGTTTCAGAGGTTTGACGGGATCTGGCTTTCACATAAAATAGGCATTACTACTGTATATTACATACTGTAGAGTAATGCCTCAAAATGAATGTGCTGTTGCAAGATAAAAGCAATGAACCAAAGCTTTCTCTTGACTTAGATATGAAGCAACTAGGCTAATGATGAAAAGTAAAACAAAAAACACTATTTTTTTGAAGACTTTCCCTTCTGCGTGTCATGGGTTACATCTGTATACAAGCAATGACTCCTCTTGGTGTGACAGAAGTCCTTTTTAGTACTTTTGACACCACTCAACATATAAACATGAATTCAATAAGATGAACTTATATCTCTTAAAATGATGTATCTCTGTCACATCTGCAGCCTATGTCCAACCAGGAAGTAATGTTTAAGCAGGACTAAACTTACTTTGGTGATTCTGCAAACGTTGCATAAAGGAGCAGGAGCGATAGAGCAGGCTGAATGCAGAAGTGCACAGACTCATTATGTACTAAATCTAAAATAAACAAGATTAAGAGATCCTTTATTCGTCCCACTGGGGGGAAATGTCATCAACAGGTAAAGAACAGTAGGAACGAGGTGCCCACGGCCCAAGATAAATGAACAGTAACTCTGCACTAAAATACAATAAAATGTCTAACTTTAGCAGAATTAAGATGAAAAAATTAAGTTAAAAAATATCTGAAGCTGCACATTTGTCCACTGGATTTCATCTTTACAAGCCAATCCCAGCTCGTTCAGAGGCTTCGGAACATTAGAAGCAGTTTGGAAAAGAAAGTCTTGGTGTGTTACGGGTCTCATCCGTCCATCACTACAGACTTGTGTCCCGTATGTACTACATCTGAAAAAAACACTCACTGCTGTCATGCATTTACATTTGCAGCATGCTATGTCTTCTTTAAGTAGAATTTTTACTGATCCTATAATTCTTGGTAGGACATTTTGCTTTTATTTCAAGGAAAAGAGCAGGGCGTAATCTGAACCCAAACAACCCAAAGTGAGACATAAAAACCTGTGTATGTCTGTTTTTGTCTGTAAATAAACACAGAATAAACACAACAACAAAATTCCAGGTTTCAAGAAAAAGTGCATAAGAACAAAAGACGTGAGAACAAATGTCTGTCTATGATTTTTATTTATTTATTCATGCTTAGACATTTGCAGCACATGAGTCTTTTGTACCTCTTCTGACGCTTCTTCTCCAACTTGAGGTCCATGGCCAACCACTTCTCCACCAGCAGGGAGCGCTCTTCTTCTGTCTCCATTAGTTTATGGGTTAGAGCACTGGACTTAACCTCCAACAGAGAGCAGTCCAGCTTCTGTTTTCAGCTTTTGGGACAGAGCCCTGACGTTTACCTCCGGCAGAGAACACTCTTGCTGTACTGTGCTCTGTCCCTCTTTGAGATCGGCCTTGTCTTCCTTCTCTTGCTCCAGCCCCTGCTTCAAGTCCTTCAGTGACTCATTCAGGAATCGGCAGGCGTCTTCTTTCATTTGGAGTTGGCCCTGAACCTCCTGTACCGTCAGGTTCAGCATGATCTTCCGGTCCCTGGACTTGTTGATGACGTCCCTCATCATGTCTTTATACTGGATTTCCTGACCCATCAGAGTCTTGTCTTGAGCCATCCAGTTCGTCACATCTCTTCGAAAACTTGTTTGAGGTTTCCCAAAGATACTTCAAATTTAGTATTCTTCTGACGCAGCATTGTGCTTTCTTCCTCAGTCTTTAGTAATTGTGACTGGGCTCGCTCTGTATGTAAGCAGAAGATTTTTTTTTTTTTTCCCAACGCCATTCTTGGTGTTGCTGCAGAGTAGCTTTCTGTTTCTCAGTCATGTCTTTTAGTTCAGCGACCTGGCTTGTCAAATTCTCTATTTTAAGATTCCTTGACTCGATCTGTGCCTTTAGTTCCTCTGACTCATTGAGCAGTGATGTATTCTTTTATCTCACTTGCCTCAGTTCATCCTCCACGTCCTGCTTTGGTTTGGCTTGCTGGTCGAGTTGGATCTTGTGGGCACAGATGATCTGCTTTGTTTTGTTGAGCAAATTAAACTTCACGTCTTCAATCTCTTTTTCAAACTGTTGGACGATCATTTGATGCACAACTTGTAGAGCAAGAATGGTGTCGTCTTTAGGACACTTCCGGGCGTCAACCGCTCTCCTCCTCTTCAGCGTTTCCACCTCTTGCCGCAGTTGGTACTTTTGAGTGGTGCTCAACTGCTGAAAGCTCCCTCACTCTAGATGTTCAGGAGTTGTAAAGCCTGGGACCAGTTTTACAGCTGGTCCAGAGAGTCCATCGACCACTTCTGCTGGTTCAGAGGGATGGACTTCTTCAGGCGCTTCACCCAACACTTCCATGAGGTTGAAGTCCTCAGCTTTAATTGAGTTGTTCCTTGATGAGGCAGGAAGTTCTAAGAGAAGTGAAGATCTGGGACATTTTTGTACATTTATCAACATTTATGGACATTGGTCACCCCGCTCCCTATGGACCAATGGCTTCTATACGTTTGTTTCATATTGCAATTCCTGTGTTTGTTGGACTCTCTGATCTCTTGTTGGGGAATCGACAAATTTGTAAAGCTGTCGAGATGACTGTTGTTGTGATTTAGCTGTTTGGACTTTACACAAATAATTTGGATGATGGGGGAAACCAAAATGCTCACATACAGTAAAACCCACCTAGACACCAGGAAAAAACATATAAAGTCTAAAAATGAAAGCCTAGGTTCGCATGGGGGTCAAGCCTGCCCTGTCACCTGGCTGCAGAACTGAGGAACAGACAGAGAAACAAAATTATACTCTTGAAGCATTTGGTGCTAATGATTTGAAAGTGAGATTTTCCAGGATTTTCTGGTTGACATTTTAACCGAACACACTTGTCAACACTTTTAACAAGTAAGTCCCTCAGCGTGGGAAGTCATTAAAACATGCACCAGGACCATAATAAGTAAGTAAGTAATCTTTATTTATAAAGCACATTTTTATAGACCAAGGTCACCCAAAGCACTTTACAATGTTCAGAGTTCAGAATAGACTATTACCAGGACATGCACCACACATTATCCACAATCTATATAGACAAACAAAGCAATAATGTGTGTGCTGAACAAAAAACATTAAAATCTTTCATTGGGAGGCACAGTGGTGTAGAGCTTGTACTTCACAGCAAGTGGGTCCTGAGTATGACTTGAAGAGTGGAGTTTGCATATTCTCCTCATGCCTGCGTAAGTTTCGGCTAGGTGCTCCGGATTACCATACCCCAAAAAACATGCACAATAGGTATGAATGTAATGACTCAGTAAACGAATGGTGATGGTCTGAGTCTCGCTCCTGTCAGAGTGAATAGAAATATAATGGGATAACTGTAACTGTAAATCGGTTTGTGAGCTTACAGTAACCTGTGAAATGCACTATATAAATAAAAATGATTTACTCAAACAATGCATCTTGGTGTTTATTTTGCAACTTAATACATGCATAAAGTATATTCTATCATCGATGTCACTTCAATTAAATTAAAACCAAAGTGTAAGACTTTTGGGTCTTAAACATATGGTTTATAGGAAGATCAGTGAGGGCCTGGTGTTATTGAATTGGGTGGTAGCTCTAATTGCCACTCCCTCACCTCAGACACCTATGAATGAATAAGTTTAAGAAAGTCTACTTAAAGGACATTAAAAAACATTTCCATGGATACAACTTTAATAAAATGTGTGTCTTGAAAACATCCACACATACTTAACTTAATAATCTTGTGTAGTTTATGTTTTTTTTTGTCCCTTTGCAAGAATGTTGTGGTGCTTAGTCCTGCATATAGGTGTGGACACTTGATAGTCAACAAATATGATTCAGCAAACATATGAAATAAATCATAAGTTACGAACAGATGGTTGTTATTTTCGTGTGCTTATAAATAGCAAGGGTCAAAATGTTAGCACAAAGAGAGATTTGCACCCACGCTTAGCAAGAGTGTGATTTTAAGCAAGCCTTGTGGCAAAGTTGTCGTTATTGATTTTTTTTTTTTTTTCGCGCTTGAGCCCTTTGGAAGTCAAATGTAAAAACGTCTTATTATATTGCTATTTTTTGATAAAACCAGTGGTTGTTTGTGTAAACCGCCTGATGCTGGTAGAGTCACACATGATGCAAGTTCTTTGGTTTGTGAAGGAATCCAAGTCTTGTAAGATTTCCAACAAACTACAAGACTTTTAGTAAATAGAATGCACTGATAACAGACTTCGAGAGCATCATGTGGACATCACTGCTGGCATTATTACTGTAATGGGATTCCTTTAAGCGGCTGGCTTGCAATACTGTATCTATCAGATCGACAACAACACGACTCTGAGGATAGAGTCTGACCCTGAACATGGGTTTATGCTTTGGGCTACACGGAGCAAGTATTTACTGACTGTATCACCAAATGCGGAATGTGAACTTTTACATGTTGTGATATATAAATAGAAGATTATATACTTTTTGAATGATTTCCAGTTATATCAATATGCAAGTAAAAGGCAGGGGAATAAACATCAAGTATGCTGTATGTTCACAAGATACACCACCAGATCATGGCATAAAATATGAATGTGTTGGTTTTGTGTTGTTTCGTCATGACAGTTTAAGATTCTACGTTTAAATCACATCTGTGGCTTTTACTTATCCCCAGGCATAAGGCAAACTATAAGTCCAAATCAAAGTTATCCATGACTGATGACAATGTTAATGGCTGATTTGATCTACATGACAAACATACAATGGACATATTTGACACATTATTAATATTAAAGTAGATAGTAGTGACGGCGGTAGAGAGCAAGTGGTGAAAAGGTGGTACTGCACCCTAAAATCCCCCCAGAAAGGGGACGGCGCTCTTGAGCAAGTGGTGAAAGGTGTTACTGCACTTTGTTTTTCAAAGAGTTAGCTTCTGTTGGCCTGTGTGTGTGTGATAATGCTTTCACAGTTGTCTAAAGTGTTTTATGATCACGGTGTATTCTAAAACAAGCAGTTAGGTCAATAAACTAATTAATCTACAGGTCCTCCCTGTTAACGACACGTGTATGTGTGTGATAGTGATGAGCGGTAGGGAGGGCGTACTAACAACCAACCAGAATGCTCTGATGTATGTGATGTGTGAATGTGGGGAACCATGACTGAGCTCACCATGTCAATTGATGGGCTGCTAGGCTTTCAGTATACCATGTATGTAAAAGGAAAATTATTTAAAGAGCAGCTTCACAAGAGCTCACAATATACAAGGCTTGAGGAGAGCAATGAAACTCTCTCCTGTGCCTACTTTGACTTAACTGTCACAGCTTTTAAGTAATAAGAGTCACGGAGATGGGCGCAGGGTTCCAACTGGTACAACAGTATAAATGACCCGTGTGAAACTCACCTGATGACAAAGGTTCCGTGGAGCAAAAACACATATATTTTTTTGTGTGTGTTTATCAATCGTAATTAATGCGTTATACTCCTAACCCTAATCATAAGGTATTAGTCTCTATATAGCAATTTAATTATCCAATACAATAAAAATAAGAACCCTATATACCTATATGTACACAGTTTGAAACAGAGTAGGTAGATGTGAAACTAGGGTCCTAGGTACATGTTTTCTTTTTACTGGAGATCAAATGATTTAAAGGCGTACATCTCTCAGATATACAATTGTTACCATAAATAGTCATCTTAAAGACTGATTAAACAACCATATTACATACCTTAAACATTATGTACAACATTTTACCAAAGCACAAGCCAGTAATTAAACATTATGTACAACATTTTACCTAAACACAAACCAGTAATTAAACATTATGTGCAACATTTTACCAAAACACAAACCATTAATTAAAATCCAGATTTTCGTATGTAACACTCTCATATTTATTGAGTATAGTAGTTTTGTTGTTTCTTAAAAACCATGATTTTTATTTTGACTCTTTAATGTCTTTGTTAAGTTGATTCCTTCCAGAGACCATTCTTCCCACGAATGTAGTTCTGAATCTAGTTTTTATTAAAGATATCAGTTACAGATTGTATCGACTTTGTCTTTTTTTCCAAAGTTCTCGTAGATGTTTTGCAATTTACCTTATACAATGTATGATAAATAGTATAATCCACTATAACATATAATTTTAACACCAAGCACTCAAAAACAGGATTTGATGAATCTCGATATATTTTCCTTCTGGTCTTTTTTTAACTATAGGCTGTGTTAAACGTTGTCTCCAAATGTTGACAACATAGGTGAGGTCGGTATAATCATTCTAGTATCTAAGGTCAGTAATGCTGAGTGGTTTGGAAAGTGTAAAACACCAAGTGATTTGGCTAATTTTCCTTATGTACAGTGTCTGTGAGATTTACAACTCAGATCCTCAACGATGATGACACCCAAAAATGTTGTTTCTTTTACCCTTTTGAATTTCCCCCGTCTAGTCTTATCGACACACTATTTAAGATGTTTTTCTTTATAGCATTGAATAGTATGTATTCGTTTTTCTTTGTTTAGAGCAAAGTCATTTGAACCAACCAGATTTTTTATTATGACAAGTTCTTTGTTTATTACTTTTTGATAACTCTCCAACATTTTTCCACAACAAAATAATGCTGTGGCACCAGCAAATAA